TGATCTTATTATTCTTATCGTTTTCTGGTGTGAAATACATCTTCTTGAGACTGAATGTACCCTTGAGTCCTGCCTCACAAATTCTCTTGGCTGAGAGCAGGTTGACCCCCAATCCAGGTACATATAGCACACCAGCTAATGATGTCCTTGTTCCATCCTTGCACACCATGTCCACTGTTCCTCGCTCATCCGAGTACATAGCTCCCCCACCAACCGTTATCCTTCGTCGCGGAGTACGAATTAGACTTCTGAATAGAGAACGTTGGTCAGACATGTGTGAAGTGGCGCCGGTATCAGCGTACCATTGCGATGGGGATGCCTTACTAATACTTTCTTTGGTGAGATGACAATGCTCAGAATCAGACTCACTATCGACGACACTTTCAGTAGCATCGGAGCTTGATTCGGCGATATGAGCCTTGTGCTCCCTGCGTTTTTTGTCTTTTCGCACTGGAGAGGTGGATTGTCTTCTCTTCTGTTTGTGCTTTGAATCGGATTTCAAGAGACGCTTGGCGCGACGGAGCTGGAAGCATTTTAGGACTGAGTGGCCAGGTTTGTCGCAGAGTTCGCAAGTGATGATGGATGTGTCGGTCTCCGAGCTTGTGCTAGCCTTACGCTGGCGATGAGGTGGGACATATTTCTTTCCTTTTGCAAGGTGTGCCGAGTCTCCAGAGGTCTGGATCTCTGCCTCTTTGACCTGTAGATGCTTGATCTTATCGTCAATGCTTAGAGTAGAACTGACGACACGGATCATATCAATGATGACTTTGTACTCATCAGGGAGAGACAAGGTCAGGCTTTGAAAGAGTGATTTATCTGTACACAAAGCACCGGCTGAAGCATCCGCAGATAAGAGCTTTCGTCGAAGATCCTTGAGCTTATCCCATGCACCTATAATAGTCATATCAGGGGTATCGTCGAAAGAGAAGGTCTTGATCTTGAGGAGGTACTCGTCTGCTGCGATATCATCGATTCTGGAGTATTTGACGGCTAGATAATCCCAAAGTTTCTTTGCTGTATCATATTCGTCCACTAAAGCCTCATCATCGTCAGATAATGAGCGACAGATGTAAGATAATGCACTAGCGTTGTCCTTAAGAAAGGTGGCCTTTTTGTCGATATTGAGTCGAATCTTTGTAGTGGTACTGCCGCTGCCGCTGGAGACTTGAAGTTCTTCGAAATCCTGGATTAAGTTGTCGGCTGCTGCAATCCGTGCATATTCATGCAATGTCTTTTCGCATGTATAGAACCAACCTTTTCCTCGAAGTTGAATTCTTATTTGACGAGTCCAGCGTTCGTGATTCTCTTGAGTGAGAGGAGGGATGCGCTTGGAGTAATCCTTGGATCCAGTGTCTTCGTTCATTTTGAAGGTTCTGCAAGTAGAAAGCTTGCGTCGATGACCTAGGCGTGATTGATGGTGGAATGAAAGAGTGGAAGAGGAACTGTTTAAGACTGCGCTGTCCCGATTGGGATGTACTAGTGTTTGAAGGGAGAAATTCTCTTCAAGGCGGGGTAATTAAGAATAGTGAATTTTGATTTGTAGATAATGATTTTTGAAGTGATATCGAACACTATGTAGCAGGTGATGCTCTTCAGCGTTAAGCTGGAATGAATGGTCTTTTCAGTAATAACTCGTAGTTTTCTTACTTGAGGAAAAGGCGCGATGTAAGTGGTTACTTCGCTGTCGCTGCTCAGCAATCTGTTTGCTGTGCGCACCTCGTATGTTGACGTCGCGTTGCGTAGGAGCTTCTCGTCGTCAACCTCTCCTTTGGCAACGTAAGCTATTCAAAGAGCTTTCGGCCTTAGTCTTACTGCAGAGCTACCGGGCTCATAACCTGTTCACAATAAAGGAGCAGGCCAGTGGAATGCATGTATTATTGACTATGTAGATTAATTGTACTAAGGTAAAATCTAACTACGAAGTGGAAGTGATATATGCACAGTAGCTTAGAGCACGTGCCACAACTTCCAACACTTCTTATGATTATTATAAAGCTTAAATCTTTTTTATATATTTTTAGTTTCCAATAAGTTTTTTGAAAATATAAATATCAAGGATTCAAAAGATCTGTTTAAATTAGAGTTCTTCTTTTAAATTTGTCTTATAAATTATCTTTAATAAATATATTATTATAATTAGCTATAATCAACGATTTATAAGTATTAAAAGTCTTTAATATTTTTAATAACTTAAAACTCTCTTCTTTTTTGAAGATATTAGATTTCTTCAATATAATTGTGAAAAGAGTAATAAAGATGAAAAAGTAAAGGGAGGTAAATGAGTTTTTTAAATAATTAATCAAGTAATTTGTAATATTATCAATTAATATTAATTTGAGAAGAATATAAAAGATAACGTAACTTATAATAAACCGGGTTATATGGGGAATCGGATTATAAAATTCAATTCTCTTTATATGATCTTGTTTTACGAGCTATATATTTATTCAATTTCAATTCTAAATCATTTGAATTATTCTTTAACTTTTTTTTTTTAGTTTTCTTTTTTAATTCTTCAATTAAATGTTTATGTAGTCGTTCTTATAGCTTTTTCTTTTTTTGTTTTTTTTTGTTTTATATATTATTTTCAGTATTTCTTTATTACTAAAAATAAATTGATCTTATAAATTGATTCTTTTGTTTTTAATTCTTTTCTTTTAAGTTTCAATTACCTTCTAAGTATTAGCGAGTTGTTTTCGAAATAGGGCTATTTTAGTATTTTGAGATTCTATAAGTTTAATTATTCTTTTAATATATTAACAAGTTGGTGATACAAGAGAATCATTATCTATTAGAGCTTTATTAAAGGTTTGATTTGTTTATCTTAACTTTATTCTATTTAAAGAAAAGCTTTTAAGTATAAATAAGTTTAGATCTTAATTGAAGGTTTTTATTTGTAGAATGAAAAGTTATTAGAAGGAATTAAATGGTAATGAATTGAATACTTTTTGTAAGACAAAAGGTACTAAATTAGCTTTTTTTTAGCTAGCTTTAATATTAAAAGAATTCAATACTTTTTTTCTAATATTTTAAAAAAGTTCTATTCATTTAGTTTTTTAGATTCGCTTTATATCAGCTCGAGAATATCGATCAATCTTTAAAACATAATATCGTTTTATTAGCCTATACATTATAATATTAAATAATTAAAGTAAATGAAAGTAATAAGAAGGTAATATAAGTAAATCGATATCCTTCTCTATATAAAAAGTAATAAAGCTGCCTATAATATAACTTGAATAATCATTTATAATCAAAAGTCGAGATTAATTACCTAACACTTTCTTGAATTCTAGTTCGAAAACCTTTTTTAATCATTCTAATCTATAACTGTTTGAAATCCATCTATTCGTATTAATAAAAAACTATTAGCTTTAAGGTATATCCTTTGGAATTTATATAGAATTCATATTCTAAACCTTGAAAATAATTATAAATAATAAAACCTTTCCAATTACATTAACACATTCAAATACAATTATTCATTTTTACTTACCAACTATAACTTTTTAATTCAATTTCTAAATAGAATCAATTATAATATATATACTTTAAGTACTTCCAACTTTAAATCCAATTTCATTTATATTATACATATCATTTAATTTATACTTTCGTTCAATAAGATATATACGAAACGTATCAAATTAAGTCTGAATATTCTCTAATATTACCTCTTTAGTCCAATTAAACTTTAATTGATGTGAATAATATATCTTAAATTCTGAATATCGTTTTTGAAATCTGTAAATCCATTTGTAACCTATAAATAGAATTTCTATTAAAATAAAAATTCGAAATGATATAACCTAAATATATCGAAGACGAATTTTGTTGGCCATTTCCTTCACTAATATAGATATAACAAAGAATTCAATAATAATAAATCATGAAATCTATTGTATAAGAATATTTTCTTTTATATTTGAAAGAATTTGAGCCATTTCGTAAGATTGAGTATATAATTTCCTTTTAGCGATCTTAATTATAAGAGTTGGTTTAAGAACTTCAAAATACTTTATAATCTTTCTAATTGATTTAAATTTTTTTAATTGAAATACAATAATAACATTTTATATCTTCTTTTCAATTTGAGAAAGTATAAGAAGTAATTCGATATATATAGCAAAATTTGTTAAGGTTTGAAGTCAGTAATAAGCTAAATGTAATTCCAGTTCCTTATATAACCTGGTTCACTATAAGTTACGTTATAATATTTATAGTATTTATAAATCTTAAATGTTTATATTATATTCTATTTAAAGAGTTAATTAAATATAGGAAGTTGTAGATCTTATATAGACATTACAAAAGGAGCTAGTCTCTTCTACTCTTACTTAAGGCTACTATATTCTATATTTGTTAAAGACTATAATATAATAGCCAATGAATTGAAGCTATTTACTAGATCCTAATAATTAGTATTCATACATTTTTCTTTCCTAGTTTTTCACATTGATTTCGATTTAAAAATACTTTATATTATATATTTCGATATGTTCAAATTTCAATGAATTTAATTCTAGGATTTCCTATTAATTCTAATTTCAATACTTTTAATATATTAGGGAATATATTAATTTTAATTAAATTAATAATTATCATCTTTATTATTAATATCAATATCTGTTTTGAATTTGAACTGAAAAACTAGAGATTCGAATTATAATAAAATATTTAAATTTATAGTTCAAAATCAAGATGACTGCTTTAATCTTGTTAAGGAATGTGACGAGCTATGGCTATCATCCTCATATCGACGATGATAAGATTCCGCTACATTACACAATAGACGGAGCAGAAAACCCAACCACCTATTTCTTCACAGACATGTTTTTGTATCGGTATAAGAACTTTCTTGAATGTCTTCTACACCAGGAAAATTTCAAGCTCAAACGCACCATCATCGTCACTCGAAGCACGTGACCACACTCATTCCGTGTTGGTAGCAGGAGATCAAGTGATTCTGATTTGTAGATTCTATAGTTGTCATTGTCATTATGACTCCGAGTATCACTCATTACTTGAAAACATGTTTGTTGATGACAACTCAGATTGCTACACTTGCGACAGGATTAAGACTTTCCTCTCATTCCCGAGATCTTCATAGGCATGTCAACATTTCAATTAATTGTGAGAGATACTAAGGGCTCGTTCGGATCGACTTGTTTTTAACATTAAAACCAATATATTAACTATATCAAATCTAATAATTTTAAAGTAATAAATACATTAACTTTTCTTAATTTTTCTTATATAATAATCAATAGTAACTTTCAAAATATTATAAAATAAATACATTGAAAAAAAAAACAATATCTTCTTCATTTTCAATTCAACTTTATATATTTCAATATTACTTTAAATATACTAGCTTTATTCAAATATATATTAACTTTACTCCAATGCCTATAGAATAACACCCATTTACATACTATATGCAAAAATCCTTATAAAACTTCTAAATATTTATCTAAATGAGCTACAAGTTATAACAAAATTTAAACTAAAAGGGATAGGTATATTAAAATTGATTCAAAAAGAATGTAATAAAGTATATAGAAGATATAGATTTATAAAAAGATTAAGGAAAATTTATATTACTTTTAAAAACGTAAAGTTTAAATAGGTTCTATTTAAATTGAAGTATAATAAAGTTGTTAAAAATTATAAATAAAAATATAAAACAAAAGAAAATAATAAATAAATTCTATATTAGATAAATATAATAATTTATTTTTAATTTTAAAGTATAATAAATTAAATGGTTATAAAGAAAAACATTCTTTAAAATTATTATAGACCTAGAACACCTATAATTCTGGATTACTGAATTAATAGAGGCTAGTTTAAGATCTATAATGATTTTAAAAAAGGAATTAGTTTAATAATATTAAATATCAAAATAGAAAAGATAAGTTTAAAAGACTTCCTTATAAAACGAAGGGTTCCAGGATATATGTTGGAGTATATATAATATAGATAAAGGAATTAAATTATTAATTATATTATATTCTATTATATAAATATAATATTATAATAATAAAGACTTCAAATTCAAATATAATGAATATACAATTTTATATAAAACTCGGGATTATTTAAAGGGATAGTTACATAACTTATTAAAACAGAACTACTTTTTCAATATATATTTTCATTAGAAATACTAATATATAAATATTAAAAATATAAATTGAAACTATAAAAATAATTATAGAAATATAATAATATTAATGAAATCCTATTGAACCTTAAACTTTATCTTTAAAGAATTGAAATACAATTTTCGTATTAGCTTTGTTATTATTATCGAGGTCCTCCCCCTAAAAACTATATTACATTAGTTAGTAATAACAATAAAAAGGATATAAGAAACGATCTATAATAATATAATATATATTAATAAATTAAATAAAAAAGGATGCAATAAATTTCATAATCTTGATCTATTATATTCATATAACAATTTTAATAATAATAAAAGTATAATGTAATTCCTCGACTATAATATATATAATAGCCTTAAATACATTAAAGAGATTGCGATATTCGGGAGAAACCTTAATGGGCCAATCAATATTAATAATATTAATAATGATAGGCAACTTTTTATAAGCATAAAGGTTATAGGTAATTATAAAGATATTAAGGTCCTAATCATTATTATAAATATCAAAATCACTTGTAATTCTTTATACACTTTTCTTATAGATGATAATAATGTGTAGAGTAGTTACTATAATATTTATATAATCTATAGGAATCTATATCGACAAATATTTTATTAATTAGGAACTTTTAAAGTTAAGATCTGGAGACAAGATATTTATATTATGGCATATATCCTTTCTAATATAACAATAAAGGTATTTCCTATAAGCATAAATATAGGTCATAGTAGAATTATAAGTAAATTGATATAGATATTTGATATAATAATCATGAAGTGGGCGTATAATAGGACAAGAGTGGGAAGGGAGCCTTTAGGCATTTATTCTCTTTTTGAAAAGCATTTTGAAAGGGCACTACTTCAAAAGTAATAGATTGAGATTTGAGTTAATAGGGATAAAAGGATAATAAAGTAGATATAAAATAAAATATAACAGAATATTCGAAGGAAGATAAAGGGATCTATACTCTATTATAAAGAACAAAATAAATAATAAATAAGAGATTAAATAAAGTAAATAAAAAGGAAAAGAGTGAGAAAGATAAAAAGCAAATAAAGAAATACGATTGCTATAGAATAAAGGTAGGTAATTACAAGATTATATTATTTTAATAACGATAATATTAATAATAATAAAAATTATTATATTATAAAAAAGGAAAAAGAAGATCTATATCATTATGTCGAATGAAAATAGACTATATATTATTAACTTACAAAATAAAAACAAAACAACCATAATAATATTGTCTTCAAAAATACAGGTATTACAGACTATAAGTATTAAACAGAATAAATATACAATATAAACAATTTGATAGAACACTAAAAAAATAGGTTTTTATATCTTTTTCCTATTTATTTTATTTAATTAAATATAAATATAAATATATTATATAATCTTAGTATAACTATATAGATCAAATCGATTATGAATTTACTACTACTATTAACTTTAACATTTTAATGCCCTTGCTATTTTATCATTATTAAAGATTTCATTAAATAAAAATAAAATCGATTCGAACAAGCCCTAAACTGGCCCGTAAACAGTTCGTCTGCTTCTGTGACTAAGCCAGTTATAATAGGGCTGGCGACTGAACCAACTTTACCCCTATCGAGTGGGGCCAGGTTTTAGCTTACTCCATCCACACCAGCCGCCGCGCTAGATTACGGCCATGAAGTCGCAAGTTATCCATACTATGATGTAGAATTCATCAGTGGAAAGGTTCAAATTGAGGTCAAATACTCGGAAGAATTTGATGGTCTCAATACTAACTTCTCTGACGGACCTTTTCCCTCTGCAATTGGTCTTTCGAATACGTATCGCGTTGAAACCTGTGAACTCACCGAGACTGGACCTTTCGAAGCATTCCTACTTCAAGGAGGACAAAGATGGCAATCAATCCGCCTCTTGACTTCGGGGAGTGTAACATTTTCAACAATTGGATTTACTGCATCAGTATCGGCTATTGATGTCAGTACATTGCCCGGTGGGTTTGAGTCCAAAATGACATGCTTAAAGATATTTGGGCCCTTGGAGCTAGGGCATCATCATTGGCCTGCATCGATCCCGGAACTCAGGGCTCCATGTGGGAATTTGATGCGAATGGTGCTCTTGTTAGAGGTATGAAACCAGGACTCACAATTAAAGGTGCATCATTTCAGAATTACATGTTGGAGTTCAACACTATGATCAAAAGAGGCGATATAGGCTGGGCAATTGGGGTTCCAATTGCCCAGCCCTTAGGTCTCCAACTGAACCTGATTGGGGAGCTACCTAAAAACACAACTTTCGTCAATACGAACACCACACTTACTCCACCAAATTCCTTGATTCTCTCTTATGGTCACTCTTTAGTTAATTTCACGACACTTCCTTCCTATCGTCTAGATGTATTCAACACACCTCCCATAAGAGAGAATACCTGGAGTACGGTGCGGACCATCCTTGATACTGCAGACAACCTTGCGGTATATATAGATGACGCAGAAACTTTCAATACGTCTTTGTCATCTTACTATGTTGGTGAGACACCAATACAGACGACTGGCACTCTTGGATTTGGTGGCTGGCAAGATCAGGTTGGCTACATCAAAATGTCATCGTTCAGGACACATTCAATCAGTCGCTTTTGTATAATAACACGATGATGACTGATACAGATTCGGTACTGACTGAGTACGGTGTTCACTCTAACCTCCAAACAATGTGTCTAGATGGCGCGAAATGAGACCGGCTAGTATGGCTAGGCGACTGTTATCACACAAGTCGCATAATCCCGGTTACTACCTCTTGAAATGACCATTTAAAGGGGACTTTGAATACCTTTCTAGACTGGCAAATAGAAGATGGACTTTTGCCATTTTCTCCGCAGATTGGTCACAATGCATCTGGCGCCAAGCAGATATTTGCCTTAGGTAGTGGTGCAACCGCTGGTCTTGAAACTTATGGTGTTGTCCTAGTTGACTACCAAATCTTCGGACTGATATCCTACTCCAATTATATTTCGTCCAGCAATGACCTTGAGTTTGCGTATCGAAAATGGTCAAACTGGTAACTTCTGGCAGATTGGTTGATTGCACAACTCAGTCCCGACACCGGTATACCTGTCTTTCCCTATTCGTTCATTGGTCCGAGCCAAGGCTCTGCTATCTCCTGCGCCCTCGTGCAAGCGTTGAGTCAGCTCGCGGAAGTAGCTACGGCCACAAATGATTTGGCGTCGGCTACCAAGTATTAAACCGCGGCAACGAAACTATCCACTGCGGTCAACGAGCAGTTGTGGAATCCAACCATCGGCGTTTATTCCCTTTCTGCCGCTTCACCTGGCGATTATTCTATTGCGGCAATTGGATTCTGTATCACACCAGGCACGGCAAACACGACCCAAGCACTTCAATCTTTACAAGCTCTCGAGGCCCTAAAGCTTGGGCCGGGATATAACGATTCGACACAAGTCAATAGTTCAGATCCCAGCACAAATATTTCACCTAATATAAATGGATTTTGGCTTGCAGCAATTATCTCGTAGAATGCAAGTAGCAAGGCTCTAAGCTTACTCGAAAGCCTCTGGTCCCCGATGTTGTCAAACCCAAAATCATCCACAGGCGCAAGTTGGGAGTACGTAAATCTTGAAGGTAACCCGGGACTTGGTTTGTATACAAGTCTTGTACATCTATGGAGTGGAGCACCTACATACTTACTTATCGGATGGGCCGCCGGATTGAGACGTGCTGCCGGTCCATCTGGGTATGGCTATAAATATTGGCTTATCAATCCGGATGTTGGCTTGACTATGGGGCTCAAGACTGCCAGCGCCAGGGTGGTGACTGCTTTCAATGGAAGCTTGAGTGTGAAGTGGACATTGAATAAAAAAGTTGTGGATGTCGTTGAAACGCACCGAATAATACTAATGGGGTATTCGAGATGGCTGGAATGAAATAAGTGCTTGTCGGTGGAAACTTGTATCGGTTTAATATAAATATATGAACCTACGATTCAGTTGGTTTCAAGTATCACATTATTTGATATATTAATTTATACCTTTTTTTACTCCGACAACGTATCGCTTTTGATTTGTCACTGCCGGAGATGACAACTCCCCTTCTACAGTGAAAGCCCCTCTTAATGGCTTCATAGACCCCGCGCGATCAGTAAAGATGCAAGGATAAGAGGTTATTAGCAGAGAAATGAAAGAAGGTACTTCGTATAGGCAGTGGCATAGGAGAGTGAGGGTTTTCATCCGTTTACTTTATTGCAATTTCTTTACAAAATATACTCTTTCATAGAAATAACAATTCTCCTCAAATACAATGCCGCGCGAAAGCTGCAATTTGCAATCAAGAACAGAACTTAGCCCCCAGTTGACACAACCCGATGCTTATTTAATTGCTCATCTTGAGACGCGATTGTGGTGTGTAGATTAAATAGAAAGTATTGTCATAGTATTGAAGTCTGAAGGTAGCCTCGACAGCCATGATCTTTGCCGAGAGATCACTTGCAGCGCGGAATAAGTATTTAGACATCTCAAGGTGAGAGTAACTATGCTCATAAGACTCCAGTCATTCTTGAATCTCGTGAATAGAATATAGAGAACTTGCGAAGCGTATCTAAAAGTTAAAGTAAGAACGTGTGTAGAGCTTCTCTCGTCACAAGAGCGCTTCAAGAATCCGGAAGGCGCACGCAACAGGAGAGTATTTTGCTGTCATACAGCAGGAATGAAAAGAGACAGAGATACAGGCAACTCACCCGTTGGATATAAATTATAATGTTTACCATCTCGCAAGTCCTAGAGTGGAAGCTAGGCCTAACATTGCTGTGAATCCTATTAGCAATTGTGGCAAGAACCTGATGTATCGAACGAGGCTAAGATACAAAGATTGAAGGAAGTTTGATGTGATACATCTTGTCAAGAAGATTAAAGATATCAAGACCAAGAAGGGGAGATAATATAGCTATAAGACAATTAGATCGTGGGCGATTTCTTGTTGTGATTTGAGTACTTCTCCCTTGGGAATATCCAGAGGACCTAGCTTTGAGCTTACTGGCATGACCGGGATCGATGACAGCCAAGAAAAAGCAGGAGTTCCATGAACCGGAGAAGATCAATTACCGGTGGTTCATCTCCAAACGGTTTCTACATAGCGAAGCATTTAGAAGATGTTTTTCCTCGGAGATGTCAAAAAGTAAGACAGATGTCAGGTAAAGGTTAGGTTACGGAGTTGTGGTCTGAAGATATTGTTGGTTCAAGTTTGGGTTCGAGAAGGATACAGAAGACGTAGCACCTACGATATTCGTAAGTCCTAAATTTCTATATTGTATTCTGTCTAAAGAGCTAGCTAAGTGTAGGAAGTTGTAGGTCTTATATAGACGCTACAAGAAGAGCTAATCTCTTCTGTTTTCGCTTAAAGCTATTGTATTCCACATTCGCTAACGACTATAATACAGTAGCTAATGAATTGAAGCTATTCACTAGATCCTAATGATCAATGTTCATACAGATATGCTGCTGACGAGAGTATCCCCTAAGGTGCGACAAATGGGCTCCGAAAGTGGTCCATACGTCGAGTAAGAACATTAATAACTTTGTAAATAATATTAATAATAAGGAAATCAACAAATGCGCTATATATATTAATTTATTAATATAACATTAAATAATGTAAAATCTAATCTTATTGATGTAGGAATATTATATCTAAATATTCCCTCTATTTCGAAAGTAGAGATTTCTTTTAAACCTATAAATTATATAAATTTCAATTAAAAGCTTTTTCTTTAGATTAATATTTAATATTATAATCTATTCAACCTATTTTATCTTCATTTTTTATTGGAAATAATAAATTCAATTATAGAATAAATAAATTCATATATACGAACTTTAAAAGATAAAGAATTTTCAAGATTGTAAGTATTTTTATAATATTTTATAATAGTAGACAAAATTTGTTTTTATTTGAAGATTTGTATTTACATAATTATATATCTAGAATTTAAGGTTAAAATTCATCAAGAATATAATAATAAATCTAATAAATATCTTTTTATATATTTTATATTAAGAGATAGGTTTTTAAAGCTTTATATAAAATATTATACTATATTTTTTTAAAATAATTAATGTTTATGAAAAAGTAAGATATCAATTTATTAGTTTGAATTTTATATGTTAATATATTTATTTATAAGTAGATTTATTAACGTAGTTTATTAGTGTATAAATTATATTAGTATATATACTACTTTTACCTCAATTTTGTTACGGGAGCTGCCTCTAGGGTCATGTGGAAGTGTCTAGAGATCTCTCGAGGTGGTTTAGACTAGACTTCAAGTAGGAATTCAATAAGGTTGGTAACTGGTTGTAATTCTCGTAACTATAGTAATGAAACTAATGATTGTTCTTGAGCACGAAGCTCTACATTGTAATGAAATCCCATTCTTTATATAGACCTTCGTGCTTTATCCTGGTCCCTGGGACCTCTCCGATATGTTGGATCGTTAAGGATCGCTGAAGCTCCTTGACGCTCCATCACGTGCGATTTATGTCATGTGACGCGGTGTGTTGGATGCCGTCGTAACACTATTCCCTTCTTATTCTAGCGCTTGTCCCAAGCGTTATATAGTAACTGTTTACCCCACTTCGGAATATATTCGTACTATGGTTTTGTTTCTTTCAATATGACTGATAATTTTCACAAACGAAAGGAAAGATTGCGTTTAGCTCGTCTTGTTGAATCTCGTGGTCTCGAAATGTCGTCTTGTTCTTTGTGTGAACGCCAAGAGCGCAAATGTGTTGTATCTTCTCCAGATTCTTCCCAATGTGCTGAATGTATCCGCCAAGGGCGTAGATGTGACGTTCGTGGCCCTTCCGATAGTGATTGGGATAGTCTGGACCGCCAAAAGGCCAGACTTGAGGAGGAAGAAGAACGCGCTATAAGTGTTTCTCAGGAAGCGATGGCTAAAGTTCTTCGTCTGCGGAAACAAAAGCGTGCTTTGTTGAAGCGTGAATCCGATATGTTGCGCCGTGGTCTGCGTACTTTAGATGAGCTCGATGCTCTAGAAGAGAAGGAAAGGTTAGAAAATGAGCGTGTTGGAAAAGAAAAGGAATTGGCGCCTGTCTCTGTTGCTGGTCCTAACGACGGTTCCTTTGTTTTCGATTCTTCTTCCTTGGATCCTTCGATCCTGGCTTCAATGGATTCTCCTTCCTTCTGGGCAGATCCGGGTATTGCTGGTGAAATGCCTCCAACTTCTCAGGGCAGTTGAGGTTTGTTCTTGGTTCCCATGAATTTTCGGTATGTGGATAATCTAACCATTTGATCAAGTATTTGATTGTGCCTCTGACGTATTTACAGTCTAGTATTGTTTCGACATCGTATATGGCGTTCGGGTTGACTGGTTCAATTTCCGTTAATGGCGCACTCGGCGCTCCTGGTGGTGCTGGTTCGAGCAAGGATATATGGAATACTAGGTGGATATTCATTGTGTCTGGTAGTTTTAACCGATAATTGACGGTTCCTATTACCTTGTCAATTTTGAATGGTCCTAGTTTCTTGTGGTCGAGTTTATTGCTTGGTCTCTTGGTTTCGATGTTTCGTCATAGCAAATAAACTTTATCCCCCTCTTTAAGCGTAGGTTCCATACTACGTTTCGTATTGTAGTACGCTGCTGTTCTGGAAGATATGAATCTTCGATCAAGAGCCAGTTGCTCTTGGAGATCTTTCAGCTGTTCGACTTGTACTATCGCTGATTTGGCATTAACTTCTTATGGTATCGGAATTTTATACGCTTGTGGATTAAACCCAAAATTAGCCCGTGCTAGTGTGATTTTCGTGGTTTCCGTTTCCGATGTATTGTATGCGAACTGTGCCATAGGTAATAGCTCTACCCAATTGTCTTATCGATAATTTACATAGCATCTAAGATATGCTTCCATTATCTGATTGGTCCTCTCTGTTTGACCATCTGTTTGTGGGTGGAAAGATGTCGATAGCTTTCTCTTGATACCCATAAGTGCCAATAAGGTAGTCCAGAATTTCGAGGTAAAGAGCTTGTCTCGATCCGAGATTATCTCGTCTGGTACTCCGTGTATGCTTACTATGCCCCTTAGGAACACATATGCTAGTTGCTCAGCATCCCATGTTTCCTTGAATGGTATCATATAAGCAAATTTCGTTAGTCTATCTACTACATTGAGTATCGCATCGTACTCAATTCCTATAGTAGGATCCTTTGAGAGTGGTAGTTTGACCACAAAGTCCCATGTGATGGACTTCCATGGTTGAGAAGGCATGTCTGGGGTCTGGAGCTGACCATACGGCGCATATCGTGATGACTTGTTTCGTATACAGGTGTCGCAATTTCCAACAACTTCTTCAACTATCGTTCTCATTCATGGGAAGTAACTGATTTCCCGTATTCTTGCAAATGTTCTTGCAATTCCTTGATGTCCGTGTGCCAGCAACCCATGTTGTTCCGTCACGAATTCCTTGGTCATTTGACTCGGAATGTATACTTTTCCATGAAAGTATA